AAAACTACCATTCTGAAACATATCATAACAACATCAGAACACTGAAATATCTCAAGGGATCATGATACTACTACTAGCTTCCTGGTCTTGTCTTGGCCTTCCTTAATTCGAGTACGGATCCTCTGCTTTCAGTAGTATGGGCCCCTACTACCTTCCACATCTATCCGTACTTTCCTCAAGAACTGCCTTGACTCCACCAAGTCACTTCTACTACTGCCATTCTCTGCTACTCTCATCCTAGGCTTGCCCTAGGGAAACTTCAAGCTCAACGCGACTGGTCCTCAGCTGCTGTAGGTCTCCTCATAATGCCAGTTAGCCACCACCTAAACACCATCACATGTGATGAGGATCAGATAATCCTTCAAGTAAAAGATCCGTCCCTACAACGGTTGGACTCAAACAAGAGCTGCGCAATAGGGCCAGTTCCAGCACTCTGGGATTATTCAAACCTGATCACATGTGGTGTGACGTGTTCACCTAATGGCTAACTCCCACTACTCAGCCCCACCAAGCACGAAGCAAGCAGCATTCGGACAAGGGAAACAGACTCAGGCAAAACTATTCTTATAACAAGAAACTGCACTAGCATAGGATGCTAAGCTCATACTATCAGGCATAACCTAAACAGGCTATCCTACTGCTGTCTACTCAATTCTAGCATGCAATACTCATAAAGCTGTAACACATAAGCAGGCACATAAGGCATTCTCCTAGATCCTTAGCCCTATACTAGCATGCTGTTCTACTGAAACTGAAACTGAACAAATAACTTGTATGGGTAATTTGGGAGTACTTACTTGAGCTCGGCTGACCGCATGCACACACCTCTATCTTGTTAAAAACAATTCTTTCTTTCTAAGTGCTTTCAAAATTCTTTTTGTAAAACATTTTTATTTTACTAAAATCTTTTATTTCCCTTAGTTTGAGTTCAGATACACCCGGAAGTGTATCCGAATCCCTCAAACCAGGGCTCTGATACCAACTTGAAACGACCCAAAAATTTTCGTTTTTCCATATAATCAAAACCATAATATAAGTATCATAACATAAAACATACGCGATGTATCCCCAAAACATAATAAAATATTGTGCGGAAAACTGTATCATACTACATCAATCCAAAACATCAAGAGACATCCCCAGGATAAAAGCTATGCTGTGGTGTGTGCGATGCTGTCACCCCGAGCTCTTCCCTTTGCTTGCGGAAGTACCTGAAACCAAACTGAAACTGTAAGCACGAAGCTTAGTGAGCTCCCCCAAACTACCACATACCATACAATAACATATAAACACATATTGGGCCTTGCCCACTGCATCGGGCCGAAGCCCGGAAACTGCATCGGACCGAAGTCCGGAACTGATTGGGACCTTGTCCCTGCATCGGACCGAAGTCCGGAACTAACTGCATCGGACCGAAGTTCGGAACTGACTGCATCGGACCAAAGTCCGGAACTGACTGGGACCTTGTCCCCTGCATCGGACCGAAGTCCGGAACTAACTGCATCGGACCGAAGTCCGGAACTGGCTGGGACCTTGTCCCCTGCATCGGACCGAAGTCCGGAACTGACTGACTGAACATGGCATAGCATAACACATCAACTAGCATAACACATATACGACATGCTACATCGGGCCGTGGCCCGAAACACATAATACTTAACACATGAAACATAGCACACAAATCCTGTTCGAGCCACGAAGGCATCGAACATACTATCTACTGTATCGGACCTAAATCCGGATACTACTGCTAACTGAACGGGCCGGCATTGTGGCCTTAGACCCGTTCCTACTGGAAGGAAACTCACCTCGTAAGCTGGCTGCTGAGTGTGTGGCTCGGAAAGCTAACGGCGGCTGCTCCTGAATCTCCTCGGCTACAAGTCCATAAACACACTCAATCAAATACTAAACACTGCGCTTGGGGTAAAATGACTCTTTTACCCTCGGTCAAAGTCAATTATCTTTTGGGCTGACTCGCCGAGTTGGGCCACCCAACTCGCCGAGTCCCACTCTCACTTTTCACTCTTACTCACTGCTACTCGTCGAGTCTGGCATCAACTCGACGAGTACCCTCTTGATCCAAGAACTCAGACAATCTTCATCCGACTCGCCGAGTCGTATGAACAGACTCGACGAGTTGTTCTTGATCCCAAGAAGATTGCCTTGGACTCGCCGAGTTGATGAACAACTCGCCGAGTCCCTCCATCACTGAGTTCACCCTCAACTCGCTGAGTCCACTCTCTAACTCACCTCGTCCACTCGACACTGATAAAACTGAAGAACTCGGGACTCGCCGAGTTGCCGCCATGCAACTGATTTTTACTTGATTTTGTTTGAATCCAACACATACAATTGATAGATCTGGGTCCAATAAGCTGATTTACCACGTAAAGTTTCCAACTTTACGTGCACAACCTCATGAATAAGGGAAATAAGGCTAAAAGATGCATAAAATGGGTAGATCTATGGTTATCATGCAATATAACTCCAAAAAGACAGTAGATCTGGGCTCTACAACACCCCAACATTCAGATCCATAGATATATCGACTTAATAAGACGTTCATGCAAGGGTAAGGCTTGGAACAAGCATCAACTAGCTCTTAGGAGAGCTCTAATGGAAGTTTAAAGCATATAACAAGATGGAACTCCGAAAATACCTCAATTAACTCTGATTTGGCCTTGGATCTTTGCACTACAACACTTCTCCTTGCTTCTTCCTTCTTCTCCTTCTTCACACCTTCACAAAATGGCACCAAAACACATATAAGCTCTTCAAGGGGGAATTAGGGTTCTCTCACTGTGTTCTCAGGGTGAGGGAGGCGAGAATGGGGGCTATAAGGTGGTATAAATAGTGGGCAACCCGGGGATTTTAGGGTTTCACCCAGACAGATGGACTCGCCGAGTCAGGGATATGGACTCGCCAAGTCCCCGGCTCACGCATGCCCTCAGGCGCGACCCTACTCGGCGAGTCAGGCTAGAACTCGCCGAGTCCCTCTTGAAAACTCGCTATAATTACCAATAAATCAACATACCGGGAACGGGTCGTTACAAATTTACATTATATAAGTTCCAAAATAATTCAAAACTAAACAAAAACAATCAGACCAATCCACTAGCAACTCTAATGAATATCAATCTGGTATGACAGTTATGCTTGGTTTGTGATAATGGTTTGGTGAACGGGTAGGCAAGGTTCTCTTATGATGATACTCTGCTCACTATGGTGTCTCCTTCTTAAACAAGCTCTTGAGATAGTGGTACTTTCTCAGTATATGTCTTGAGCGCTTATACGATATGGGTTCTTTAGTTAAGGTGACTTCACCTTCATTATCACAGAAGATCTCAACACAACCATCAATGCTAGGACAATACTGAGATCAGTGATGAACTTCTTCAGTTACATAGCCTCCTTTACAGCTTCATCAACTGCATTATAATTAGACTTTGTCGCAGAATCCGCCACTTTATCTTGGTTGGAACTTCTCCAAGCTACCGGTCCCCCTCATTCATCAAGAACACGAATCCAAATTGTGATCGAGAATCATCTCTATCGACCTAGAAACTATCATCAATATAAGCCTTTACACTGAGCTCCTCCATATCACCATAGACCAAGAAACACACCATTCATCTTCTTTGGATACTTAAGAATGTTCTTGACTGCGATCCAATTATTTTCACCAGGGTTGACTTGATAACGACTCGTCATACTCAAGGAACACGATACATTAGGCCTAGTATATATCATGGTGTACATGATCGATCATATAGCAGAAGTATATGAGACTCGACTCATTTTCTCTAGTTCATCACTAGAGCTTGGACACTAATATATGCTCAATGTCACACCATGTTGCATAGGCACAAACCCTTTCTTAGAGTCTTGCATCTTGAATTTCTTCTAGTTTTTATCTATATATGTATGTTGGCTCAATCCAGTGAGTCACCTAGATCTATCCCTATAGGTTTTTATACCTAGTATGTATGTTGCATCTCCCAATTCTTTATTAGGAAACATTTCCCAAACCAAGTTTTTACACTTTGTAAAGTTGGGTCATTGTTTCATATGAGTAATATATCATCAACATACATAATAAGGGAAACAACAAGACTCCCACTAGCTCTAAGATACACACATGATTCATAGTCGTTTCTTGAAAAATCAAACTCTTTGACTTTCTCATCGAAGCAAAGATTTCAGCTGTCAGATGCTTGTTTAAGTTCATAAATTAACTTCTCAAGCTTACACATTTTATTTAAATATGTGGACTGTACAAAATCTTATGGTTGTGCCTTGTACACATCTCTATCAAATTTAGGTTAAAGAACACGGTTTTTACATCCATTTGTCATTTTTTATAAGCATGAAATGTTGTTATGGCAAGCAATATCCTAATAGATTTTATTATTACTATTGGCGAAAATGTTTCCTCATAATCAATTTCTTAAGGCTAAATATAACTCTTCGCAACGAGTCGAACTTATCAATTTGATTCATGTTTGGAGTGTTATTCCACATATCCTATACCAAGTTGATTCATTTTTGCCTCTTCTTCAAATCAAGCAACAAACCCAACATAACTCAAATTTGTTACATGCGAGGAAATCATATTATTCAGATAATCTATCCTTGTCATTATTAGAGGTGTCTCACACACATTAACCAATCATAAATATGTATATGTACAACTCTAGTTATTTCATGGTGCTTTACCAAAATATTAGCAATACATCAACTTTGAAGCAAATCTTATCATTCAACACACTTCATATACCAATTTATGCTACTTTAAAATTGCTTCATGGACCCATCTACTTAAGGATTTCATTCTTAATTCCAACCATTGTCAAACATTACCTATTTAAGCATTATACTTTCATCATAACTACTTGCACAAGCATTGAAGTGCATTCTTCATATCTCTTATCTCTTATATTTCATTATAACTAATAACTTCAAGCATTTCTTCTTTGAATTTGATTTCTAATTAGAATTCCCTTTTATTTTGGCCACTTTACATAATTGACATTGTCCTTTGTCCATTACATTCATCTAGACCATAAACTCACCATCGCACAATCAATCGCATCTTTCAAGACTTATTTTTTCGTGTTAGTGTCATTAATGATAACTTTAAGACAAATTTTAACAAAAAAAAAAAACAAGATTCAATAGATTTAAACCAAATTTAAACATGTTCTTAAATTTCTCAAAATCCCACAAAACATCCAACCCAACACAACTTATAAGAACGTATATAAGCAATAATTTTACTCGTCTTCTTGGCTCCTCAACCTTGCTAATTTGTTAGTAACCACAACATCCAACTGTGCTGCTTTTTCCACTATATCCTTCCTTTTTCTTGTAGATACATTGTGTGCAATTTCAGCACAATATGTCCTAAATCAAATCAACATAATTACATATAACATTATTAAGAGGGTATTTTACACATTTGATTATTACAAAAAGGAAAGCATATTAGTCAAAGTAAACATACCTATTGTGCATCATGAGGACTTCCAATTCTTTTGCATTGTGAACAACAAACTTTTTGAAGCCATTTGGAAGATAGTGGCGAGTTTTTTTATCAGATCCATAACCAATGTTGGGCATAAGAGTTACTCCTTTAAACTTCCTCCTAACCCTTGAATCAATACCCTTGGGTCTACGCCAGTTTTCCTGCAACAAAAAGATTATAAATTTGAAGGCAGAAAACAAGTTTTTGAAACCATTTGAAAGAAAAATCTCTTTCTTTTGCATTTAGTATAATCAGATGATTCTACAAATACATACCTTAACGCAGATTTTCCAGTCACTGTGTGGCCTTTTGAATTTCTTGACTCTCTTCTTGACAATCTCCTTATCCAGCTTAGGAACAGCCATTGTGTTCTTCAAATAAGAAAAAGAAAGATGGTTAATTGTCTACTTTTGGGAGTTAAATCGATTTGTATATGTTACGAGGCATTCGATTTCAACTTAATGATGCGATTTGTTCGCCTGATCATCGCTATTGTGATAGATTTCTATGATAATTAGGCACTTTCTTCCTTCTTTAAAGAATCAATTAGCGTTCGGGTAACATATGAGTGTGCAGTAATTTTCGCAGATTAAATGGAGCATACTTGAATTGTTGAACCATAAATGTTGAAGCATGTAAACCGTACATCGGAGACACTAAAATGAAGAGAATTAAACCTTATAAACAGTGAAATTTGGTTAAGCTTGAGGTTATATAAACGCCAAATTCAACGACTATTGTGCTAAATTGTACAAGAAGAAGAAAAGAAAGAGAACAGACAATGCCCTGATTCAAGGATTATCGTACTAAATTCTAAAAAAAAAAAAAAGAAACAGTGGCAATTAAACAATTGTGTATGTATGTTCGAGATCAAATGACTAATAAAAGATGGAAGCTTTGAAACCTGCTGTTGAGTTAGTGCTGTGAAGACGACGATGGAGTAAAGGCGACAGGGAGCTCCTACGCCTTGGAAATTTTTTAGGGTTTTAAGGGTGTGTGATCGTAAATGGGCCGAGTCCTGATATTTGGGTCCTATATTACACTGTTTGGGCCCAGTTTTCATGTCATACTTACACGAATAGATTTTACACCTCGACAAACTACAATTTTTTTGAGGTTATTGTCCAATAAATAGTTGTTTTTCTCTTTAAATGTCATTTTATTTAACTTTTATAGTCTAGGTGTTGAACCTCGAGGTGCATAAATAGATTGGTTTCAGATCGGGATGGAAATAGGTTAAAATAAGATTTGTTAAAAGAAGAATATTGGGACCGGTGCTAAGAAAATATTAACTTGTTTCGAGCGGCCCAAAATGAGTCCCAAAATATAGACAATTCAAAAATCAATATGAAAAGAAAAAAATTGTTTGATTTAATTTAGAACTTAATTATTTAAGCAAAAATTTGTCATACATTTATCCATGAACATGGATAAAAAATCAATACATATCAATGAAAGGTAAACAAGCAACAAGTTGTGTTAGTTTTTTCTGGATGGCAAAACAAATTCTTTTGAAAACAATAGTTATGGATCTACGAAATATAACATTAGTATGTACGACCCGTTGGACTCTGTTAAGGAGTTTCATCGCCTCTGGTGCAAGAAAACCAAAGGTATCAAATACAAAATGTATAAACACATGTTGGTTTTGAATGCAAGCATTCTCGTGCTTTGCTACTTTGCACGCAACGACTTTCAAAATAGCATGTCCCGTTGTGAAACCCCTGCTCCTCAAACCAATGAGAGAGGAGAACCCAGTAAGATCCACCCAAGTGTGCTTCTCTCCTACCCATCCAAAGACCAAAATGTCAGCCAAATTGAGTGTGGATCTTCCATCCATGGGGTCCGTCAAAAAGTTCACATGCACTTCTATCTTCACATAAATATCAGTAGGCTGGTAGACATCAAAGAGAACATCCCTAACCACATCATGTCAGTATTAAAAGTCAGGGATCTCTCTACGATGAAACGTATGTTCCCAAAGGTGTTCAAACATGCCTTGTGAAAAACCGGGCATATCTCGTCAATCGGGAATAGATGAATCATGAGGTTGTATTAAAGGATAATATGGTATTCCACAAGAGACATATGTTGGTTGAGGCCATCAATAAGAATAGTTAGCAGAAAATTTTGAGCATGAGGTGCTCGAAGACGCTCAAAAATTGCTTGATGTCCAATAGTCATGTCCAAGTCGACTTTCATATCTCTGACGATTTTGTTAAAATGGAATATCTCAATGCTTTTTGGAATTTAGGGGGTGTCCTTATTAGTGAAACCGCTACAGTCGAATCCCAGAATTGTAGTCAAATCCCAAAATCGTATCGCGAAGACGCGTCAAAGCACAAATGTAATCAGATTCCACACCATATATACCACTTTCATGTAAGATGTGCTCTTGTAAAGTCTAAGATTGGGTCCGCAAGGCTACAAATGCATAAGTTGAAACCTTGTATGTTGAGTACAAACCCAAACCACCAAAACAAAGAGGTAAAGAAGCCAGACGCCACGAGATGTCTCCAAAAGAAGGGGTCTCCACAAACCATCATATCCTCGATAGACCCACGCAATCCTTTGTCAAAGAACAAAGTTGCCTCATCCATGTGTACAGGTTGACATGTCCTTAAACCAAAGAAAAGTATTTCAATATACATGATTGAAGCAAAAGGATCTCACTTTGCGGGTCACTTGGTTGTGGAAGAAGACTCATCAAATCAACAATATTGACAGCTCTCTTCATGGCCAACCCGCTAATAAACATCGCGTCTCTACTAACCCCCCCCCCCCAAGGAGCTTCACCCCTAACGACGGTCTCCTTATATTTGTTGAGAATAAATCAGCACAAAGCTTCCTACCATTAAAAAATCATCGTTTTCTTAATATTAAACTGAATACCCAAGCTTGGACCATTCACCCAAATAATGTTAAACACTCTAGCCAACTCCTCTGTATCCCCAATGATAGTCCCATCATATAGATACCAATAATGGAGAAGAAGCTTGTAATTGTCTCTAATTTTATGCACTAGCAGGTGCAAAATAATGGCAAAATGAAGAGGTCGCAAAGGGTTGCTTTACTACACCTTGTAACGTCTGTAGATTCGGGCTAGTCAATTTAAAGATAATAACCGTGAAAAATAACTTTTTGATAGAAGATTATTCAGCATAAATAATATTAACCAAATCCGTACATTTAAATAACGTTGAAATCCGACTTATAACGAATAAGTTATGACCCGTCGAAGTTTTGCGGTTAAACCGACACGGCTCCGCGTATCATAAAAAGTAAATTTTTACAAAATACCTTTTAGCCTTAGTGATCTAAACAAAATTCATAATAGACATTAAAACAAGAACATACATATAGAGAACGTCCAAATCTGACTTGGTTAAAGGAAGTCATGATTTTTCTAAGATTCAATGTAGCAGTATACATACAGTAAATCGAATTTTAGATGGATCGATTATTAACCGACACAACCTAAATAGGAATTTAACATCTCGTTAATAGAAGCTCAATGATATAAAGACAGCCGAAAACGGACGTCGGATGACAAAGTTAACGGACTTTAACTTCTAAGTTTGTTAAAATATAACTTTAAAAATAATATCAAAATTAGCCGACAGAGTCTAAACGAAAGTTATAGATCACGTCGCTACTTACGCGTGGATATAAAGAACATCAAAAACAGAACTCGTATGCGAAAGTTACATAAATATAATTAATTTTTGGATTAAACCCCGGAGTGACGCGTGGCAATATATGGGCCACTACTTCTTCCCCATGGCCTAGAACGAGATCGTGACACCAAGACACAGTACACCCAGCGTAGCTCGAAGGACACCCAACATACTACTGTTTACCCATTAAGCCCAACGTAATTCTTGAGTACGCCTCGCGTACTCAAGCGCTAACAGCTATAAATAGAGTTCATTTCTCGCTCTTTTCTTCATACCTTATCATCCATTTTTCTCCCAAACACCCCAAAGCCTCTATTCCTTTCCCTCGCACCTCCTAGGTTTTAGTAGTGAGTCCTGGAGAACTAAAAGGCCCCGAGAAGAATAGCTTCGGCTCAAAATTTCTGTCCGCGCAGAGCCTGGTTTCTCGCTAAACCCCCATGTAATTGAGTTATTCTTACCGTACTTTAAGTATAACTTATGTTTAAGTTCATTATCATTATTATGAACCTATAAACACGATTTATCAGTAATTCGAAGTCATTATATTGATTGATCTACTTACGAGGATGATATCTAGGCTGAATTTAGTGAGGTGTTTAAAGTGGGATTTCCAAACAGTATACTTCGTATACCAAACGGACCCTATCTCCGATATGATCCTACCTGGTTGATCCTTACTTGATAGATCATGGAAATAAACTTTGAGTTAATGATAAATCTAGATTAATAATTAGACTCAATAAATATTAGACTAAAACTTAGTGATAATAATACTAAGTTACGTCGATAGAAAAGACAGTTGCTAGAAGCGAAGCGCTGTCCGAATTTCGAGTCGTCACTTTAACGAGTGAGTGCATAGTTACTTTTATCTTATTCATAGATATGAAGTATTTAATATTAATACATGTTATACGTGCTTATTATTTGTGTTCATGATATCTATCCTAGATAAATGATTTATAAATGCTTTACTTGATTTATATTGTATATGTATTTCTATACCTATAAATATATTAGGTAAATATGAGTAGATGAAAGATGATGTTCATGATGAGAGATGAAAGATGATATAGATGTTGAGAGGGGTAAGATGATGATAAACATTGACTTTAAAGTTGATCCAATCATCTAGTAGAGTATAGATGATGACCATGGACTAATCTAGACAGTTTAGTGGAGTGCTAGCAGGCTCGCAACCTGTAGGTGTTTTTAAATGACGTGTTCACCATATGTACTCTAAAATCTCTGATAGTTGTGGACTTAGTGCCTTATGAACGGACATTGGTAGCTATGGACTTAGTGTCTAGTGGATAGCATTGACAGAAATGCCTAACAGATAACATCGACAACTGTCACACCCCCAAACCAGAATGGCGGAAACATTCAGGGGTGGATGACTTCATGTAGTATCATAATAGTTGAGTAAATAGTATAGAACGCAAACACAATCATCATAAATATAATTTAAAAAGTTACATTTTTTATTATATTACATGTTTCAAAAGAAATTACATTATGATGATATAATAAGTTTGAAATTGACGCCTTAGCATCCCTTCCCCAAAAGGTGTCGTTTACATGTATTACTGAATCCCTGAGAAATACAAGTAGTTTTGAAAAAGTGTCAACAATTAAGTTGGTGAGTTCATAAGCGTTTTTATATAAGAATTATATGTGTTTTTGTATAAAGTAACTAAGTTTGTATCTAGAAAATCCAATATTTTCTATAAATGAATAGTGGTTTTAAAAGTTCCCAAAATTGAAAATGCATAAGTATTTTCCATACCTAAAATAGTGTAAGTAGATTTATATATGTATATATAATCACTAAGGTGTTTGTTAGCGCTGTAAATCAAAATGTTTTAATACTCCATGGGAGTTTTATAACCATGCTATCGACCCAGACTGCCTGTAACAACGTTCTTCAGGCGTTGAAGTGTTATGACATTTGTCACCCCAAACCTGCTAGTCTAACTGTAGCTAACAATTTAGGTGTGAGATTGTCAGTCCCGTATAGATCTATACACAAGTATCACGCTCTCCCTACAAGAGACTATGGTTTATAATACAAGACTTGAAATGCGTACTTGAAAGTACGTGAAGTCAAACGTCTCACAAAAGTTAGTATCAATAGATTTACAAATGAAAAGTCCATTTTTCTTGTAACTGTAAGTATTCCATTTTCATAGTGTTTATAAAGTGTAAAATATCATGCATATCTCGTAAACTATACCTATTATAGTTTTTCAAAAGTGTGTTTTGTTTGAATGATAAACCTTAGTGTATTACCAACTTTGCGTGTAAAGTATAACATTCGTAATAACGTTATTTTACTTGTTTAACATTTATACATAAAATGTAGATAAAGTATTAGAAACTATATGTG